GAAACAGTTCTGGCCAAAAACCGGGAGACCCTAGTAGTAGAAACCCCGCGAGTCTGTCTTAATGGGGGGACGGTTAATTTTCGGGAGACCGGATTACAATGTCCTCATTTGGAGGGGGGTAAAAATCCTACGATTATCGGCAATTTTGGTAGAGGGTTCTAATCTGGCTGACTGGAGGCTACTCATATCAAGGCTGTCAAACAGGCGGAGGTGGGTGTGTCGCCGTCTTATTGGTTTGCCTGTTCAATCACGAGCTCACGGGTTTTGGGGCAAAACGAGCTCGCCGCAAAGGTCCTCTTGGGGCATCCCTTTCAGGTGGAGGTGTACAAGCGGATCCCTCTCCCCCAAACCCTTTCAGACCCGACTGTGGATGGTTGTGAACTTGATTTCGCACCACCGAAATGAAGCCATGGTTAAAACCAGCTGGTTTTTTTTGTTGGCATTTATGTTGAGGATTCGAACATCATTGCCTTGGGTTTCTGAGTTCGGTGCTGCGATTTCTGGATTTCGCAGCCATCCGGAGTAGGGAATTTCCTCTCCCCGTCGCGTTCGCGGGGAACGGGCGCGCTCGAGGCGGCGCTGAAGCGCTGCAAGCGGCGCCGCGAGGAGGAGGCGTCGCTTTTCGCTTTCGGGGGGAAGTGGGTAGGTTTTGCCATGTGAGCCACGGGACTTTTTGTCAAGATTCCTATAAAATGGATGGCTTCTTGTTGTTGTTGTCCCTTGAAGATGCGCGCAACAAGGGCAAAACCGACAAATTGGCTCTGTCTTTCAGTGGCTCGTTCCACCTAACAAATAGAGGATTTGAGCCCCGGATTTTGCACACTGCGTCGCTGGCCCCCCCTTGAAGAGAACTCGGGCAGATGTTTGGGCTTGTCCAGTCAACCTGAAGCCCGAGCAATGTGAGTTCATCCAAGTGTGTCGAAATGACGGAGCCCTCATTAGGCTTCAGTTTTCATTTGGTTTCCCTTGAAGCCAACCTCCAAGCATTTGACAGACGTAGCTTACTTTCTCTCTTCGCCATGTTGGCTTTCCCTTGTCCCATTCAACCAGCAAAGGCAAGTTTCTTAAGGAGTCGAATATGTTTGGCCCTGTTCTTTGGCAGTTGGTGAGGCCCAACACCCGTCCACCCCGGACCGAACTTGCAGGCGGAGGCAGCGGAGAAGCGCGTGCGGCTGCGGGAAGAAGAATATGGCGCGGTGGACCTTAGCTTTCCTGGTGCCCCCTTTCCCATAGGTGCAGGAAACTAGTCTTACTTTCCCATAGCTTTCCTGGTACCATAGCTTTACCGTGGTACAGGAAACTTGTCTTCCAGGTGCCTTCCTTGTGTCGGGCAGATGAATATCACAGGTGATTTGCCGGCTTCTCAAGTAGCCGCGGTCCAAGTTGATTTGTGTCCCCCAACGAGACTGGGATTCTAGTGAGTAACCACCCCACCATCTCCGACTGGTATTTTGCGGCTCGTGTGCCCAATGCCATTCCCTTTACTACAGCAGGTGCTCACATGAGCGGCGCAGGTCACCAAAGCCCCCCATTTGTCACTTTGAAAGCTTCTACGACCTGGCTCAATCGAGGTTAGTTATAGCAAGGCTACTCATTTTTCCCAATCTAGAACTACAAGCGAGCGGTTTTTGGGTGTTCACATGACCCCTTGGTACGAGCACCTGTTCTTTGGAATCCTTGCGTACTCAGGGCCATATAATTGACTGGTTGCTATATCCGGAACCGATCGACTCGGATCGTAAGCAAGCCACAGTAAAGCGCTTGAGTAGTTGCATCGACAATCAACTGGGCATTGGCACTTATCTGAACATTTCTCACTTCTCATCTGCCAAAAGGCTAGCGGCTAGAGCAAGGTGTGCGAAGTTCATGCCTGCCAGTCTGGACACGACTGCTCGTTTGTGAGCTCACACAGCAGAAGGTTTGCCTGCTTGAGAATGATTTGAGCAGATTCTTTGCTCAAACATATCTTGTACCTTTGGACTCAGACGGTGTAGTGGTCTGACGTCCATGAACGTGCTAAGCTATACATGTTACATGGAAGTGGCTACTTCCAATCGGGGTCAAACAATTGCTCGTTGGAGGCAAGATGCTGCAGCGCTGGGATGAGGGGTGTGGGAGCCCGACGAGCGAAGCGGACGGAAGATGGCGACCCCGGGCACCATGAAGGTTCAAAATCATGGAGTGGCATCTCTTCACTTTGGTCCGGTGGTTTTTTGCGAGTCAGCATCGAGTCATCGAGTTTTGCTTCTTCAATACCTCTCTGCTGCAGGCGATGCAGGCAATCTAAGAGTCAACACGCACTTGCCATGAACGTAAGGTCCGGAAGGTTCAACGCGTGCCTAAATCGGTGCAACCACGGAAGCAACCATGGCATCACACTTGCCAACATTCGGGGAATCGATTGCTCAAGCCTTCATGGTTGTTGTTGGGAAACATTTTACATTTTTGTTTATCGTGGTTTAGTGGGAATCCCCACTGAACTGCTAAACATATTTTTTAGCCCCCCTTCCAACGTCAACCAATGCTTTCCCCTGACTTCGTACGCTTTGCCGTCCAAGGCTCCGCCGGGTCGCCCTGCTGGCTGCTCCCTTGCCCAGAGGTGGGACGCCTGGAGCCGACCGGGCTACCCGGTACTGGGTTCCTGAAAGGATACATTTTGTCCACGCTGAAAAGCAGATTTTCCGGCTGGTTTGGAGCATTCCCTCGTGAATCAGGCGACTTTTGAATGTATCTTTTGGGGGAATTCTATATGTCGGAAGGCTGGAAGTCATTCGAATCTCCTCTCTGCCTTCGAATTTATATAACAGAACGCAAACAACACACAAAACACCAGAAACTTGAGACCTCTGCAGGTCTGTCGCATTCAGTCCCAGTCTTTTTATTCTGCCGGTTCCCCAAAGCCGTTTCAGCTTGTCCGGAGCCACTTTTGAAGTCTACTTTGCAGACGTGTTGACATCCCGAAGCCTGCACAAGCAACCTGAACAGTTACTTCACTTCAAGGTGCTTCAAAGACAGAGTCAGTCCATGAGATTCGTTTGAGGTCCCTATCCGTTCCAAAGGTTAGAGCTGCGATGCCGACGCCACGCAGAGCCGTCCTCACGTGGCCAAAGACAAGACCTGCGACTTCGCAAAGGGTTGTGGTTTGCGACCTCACCGATGAAGGTTTCTTTGTCAGGATGCCCCTTTTCAGGTTGGCTATGATTTCTGAACACCCAGAATAATGCTCATTCACGGCTGCGACATCGGAAGAATTGATGGTGGCAACAAGGATGATATGCGGAGCAATGCTTTGCTTGATACTGTGGATGGACAAAATCCTGCACCACTCTGAAACCATGGGAAACGACTTCTCGTTGGTATTTACAGGGGAATCGAATCATTCCAGGGTTTGTTAGGTGGTGCGAAATCGATTTCGTCCATCCACAGTAGCACAGCCTCCAGAGGGCGCCAACACCGAGCATTTCACAGCCAGGATCCCAAAAGTGGGATGCCAGGACCTGAATTGCCACTCATATGTTTGTGCTCCCTCGCGAAATTCACATGGGGAACCCTTTTCAAGGGATTCAACCAAGAATATTGTCTGTCACAAATTCCAGAGTTTTGGGGGGATTCCATTTGGGCAAACTTGATACTCCGAGCACACGAGTTGATTCCTTCCAGTTGGGCACAACGGTCTCGCCCAGAAAGGTTCGACAAACTGCAGGAAGTTTCAACCAAAAGGAAACCCAAAGGATGTGTATATCTTTCTCTTTTTGCGCTAACCCGCCAAAAAAAGGAGGTCTTCCTTGTGGTCTCCCTTTAAAGCCAAAAAAAAGGGGCTTCCCTGGAACAAAAACACGACACACCCGAAAGGCCGAAAGGGGATGGGCAGTTGTTCGACTTTTCCAGACCTACCGTAGATAGCACCCAGTGAAATTTGATTTGGAGCTCTTTAAGGAGCGCTTTGAGCTTCTCGTCAGGTGGCATGCCGGCTGAGAGAGACAGCGGCGCCGAAAGAATGTCGGTTGTTCGCAAGAAAGGGGCGCTGGGAGACCAACCATCGCGTCATTGGTGCAGGTTGGGACTTTGTGCAGTTTCCAGGCAGAATTGCAGGGCGGTTTAAAAGGGACCTGGGTGTTGGGGGTTGGTGCCCTCTGATTTGCGGAATAATCGCCCTTTTGTGAGAAGATCCCAACCCGCAGAAAGGTGTCCTTTCAGTTGAGAATCCAAGTCAAAGCAGGTAAAACAGAGTTTCAGAACGGATGGACATGGACAATCAATGGATGATGGGGGAGTATGAACCACGGGTCAATGAGTTTGCTCACAATAGCTCACGCTTTTAGCTTCTCGTTTTTTTGGTTCCCCTTACTTTCCCTTTAAGCCAATAGAGTGCTCTAACACTGGCCCAGTGACATCCTGTGCAAGGTATGCCATCATGTCGCTGCAGGCATACATTCATGGCATGTGTGATTCCCATGTAGCCACACACACACACGCGCTCGGCTCACACTTTGACCATGAAACACTATTTGTTTCGTGTTCTGGGTTCAATCCTGAACTCCTGAACCCTTGAAGTCTCGTTTGAGGTTATTCCACTTTTTGAGGAGTAACCCAGCTCGAGGAATTCTCCATGAACCCGGTTTGTGGATTACGTAGTTTGCCATCTTGTCGGACGTGGCGTTTCCGCCTGCGTTGGCATGTGTGTCAGCCAGCTGAGAAGAGGATCAGCGGACCGAGCTCATGACATGATTCTTGGGTGCACGACGCAAGATGTTTCGTTCCTCAATGCAAGCACGGATTGCTTTTTGCTTCTTTTCCCAGCCTCTATAGACTCTAGTTGTCATCCAGATTGATCATTGTCGCATGATGCAGGCAATCGAAGCCGTGCACGTCGAACCGTTCAACAATGTCAACTCCACCGGTGCTTGCAGGTAGTTGCAGATGTTGCGCCCAGAATCCCTTGAGCCCCAGCTTCAGTTGCCAAAACACGGAGGCCGCAAGACGCAAAAGCGCCATTAGCCATGGACAACGTGGGCGTGCGGGCGAAGAGGAGGGAGAAGAAGCATTTCGATGCGCACCAGGACCTTCCGGTGGTAGTCTTGTCGGATATTCACTTGGGCGTTGCCCTTTCTTTCGGGACCCCTCCGTATGATTAATTCATTTGATTTCCTCAGAAAACCATCCAAAGAGGGGTTTGCTAGTTTAGGACAACCCCGCATGTTTCTCAAGTGTGTGGACGTTTTCTCAGAAGCGACACAGGGTGGTGGTAGATATTTCTGTTTCTTCAGTATGGTCGTGGATATACTTGGCAATGCGGATATGTTTTATGGAACAAGGAGGTTTGGGAGGCATTTTGCCGGGCCACCCTATGTCACGATTGGCTTTGCCTCCTGAATGGTTGACTTTTCGGAACCTGACTTTGGCTTGTAACCTTTGATCAACAACTCCTGGACGCTTCCTGTCAACATCCCTCAGAAGCATATGTTGCAGGCCATTATCCTCTTCGGGATTCTTGTTGTTGTGCTTCAGGACCTCCAAAGTCATGGCAACAATGTTGATTCCCAGAGTGCGAGTTGGACTCACTGTGCACTGTGGCGACTGGTGTTCTATGATTCATTGTTGGCGAATGATTTCAGCCTCGAGGACAGCCTAAATGAGCCTTTTTCAGGGCACTTAGAGCCTGTCTAGGATAAACCAAAGATAATTATAAAACAAGAGCATAATTGTACGAATTTGCTTTTCCGGTCAACTCCGCAAGTTGTTTTGAATATGCATGCAGTGACTCCAGTCAAGTGACTGCGTCCAGCTCCGGGCTCAGGACACCCGCTGCGTCTGGGAGGCTTTGGGCAGCGAGGGCCCCTCGCGCGCCACGTCGCGGAGCGCCTCGCCCTGCGCCTCGCCGCTACCGCCCGCGGGGCGTCCCCTGAACGTAGGCAGGGGGTTGGGGAGGGGGGGGGGGGCGGGTAGCTGGGTATACGGGTTTAGTCTGTTAAAGAAAGGAGCCCTCTGTATAGTGTTTGGTTTCCCTGAACATTTTTTCAACATGGGACAGATTATCTCCTCTATAGAATGGACTTTTGTGTTGGTTTCCCTGAAAAGCTTGTTGAAGATGGGTGCCTTCCAAACAAAGACATCCCCATATAAAACTTACTATAGCCACAATAAGACAGGGCAGGGTAACGGCCCCATCTGGGGTTTGGGCGCTGCTTACATCGACTCCAGATACTAGCCTGGGCTTTTGGCCAAGTTAGCAAGGGGTAGCCACCTACAGACTTGTCAGTCCCCCAAATGAGGTTCGCCCAGTAAGTGGGTTGCGTAACCTAGGCTATCAGCCACTTAGCTGGGCCGATTCCACCCAAGTGAACCAGAGTTACGACCTATGTGAGCCAGGTCCGCAACACTCGGAAAAGCAGAGGATAGGGACAGTCACAGTCATGAGTTGCGGACATCCGATTGACATGGCATTGGGTAGACCATTTTTGCTACCAGGTGTTGATTGTGGTAAGTGGCTCACATCCTAGCAATTCCCCCGAGCAGGGTCTAGCCTATGCAGGGGCTTCTTTTTTTGCCAAGGATATTGACCAACTAGTAAGTGCGGTGGTCATCCAAGTTGAAATGGCTGTCCAGCCAATTTTCTGCTATACCAAGGGAACCCCCTAAGTGACAAAGGGATTGTCATAGGATGGTTTGCTTTCGTATCACTGAAAGTGTTATTTCCCATGTGTGACGCCCTTCAAAGAATACATGATCAGGCACCAGGGTCTGTTGTGTTTTTTTTACAGGCACACACGTCCCTTCTGGGGTAGTACTGTGGTGAGATGGTGCCATACCCCCCATTGGCCATTTGAGTTGGTTCCACCTGATTGCAGTTGGACTACAACAAAACCGCCGATGTAAACCTACTTGATTTGAGTTGAATTCCAGGAAAGCCTATATGGGTATGGGTCAAAATAAAACCACCAGGGGACCGCATGTTTTAGTCTTTGGCTCTACCAGGGTGCCATGTTGGGTACGCATTTTTGAGCCACGGCCATATAAACCTCACTCCTCTTGGCCTCGCGAGGCTACTACGAGTTCCACAGCCTGCAGAGCTTGGGCCGGCAGAAGCGGCCCCGTTTCGGGGGGCAGCCCTCGCAGGCGCGGAGCGCGGAGCTGTGAGGTACCCAAGGGTGGTGGGTCCCTGAGGCCCCCAGTTTCGACCATGGCTCACTTTTCCCTCTGGGGTTGATAGAAATATCATCTGGTTCGTGGGTTTCCGAGCAATGGTCATCCCATGTAAAGGACCTTTTGATCAACCACCATGTGTGTCATGTGTGTCATGTGTGTCATGTGTGTCATGTGTGTCATGTGTGTCATGTGTGTCATGTGTGTCATGTGTGTCATGTGTGTCATGTGTGTCATGTGTGTCATGTGTGTCATGTGTGTGTGTGCGGTTTGTGGATGCGCCAGTGACTCCCTTACCAAAGGCTTGTTTTTTCTTGTGCTGAAAGGCGACCAGGAAGGAGGGGTCAAGCTGGAGCAACCCGCAAAGGAAAGTCACGTTCAGGCCGCCGCTCGCCTAGAAAGGGGAGCTTCCATGTGGTGGGAGGGTAAAGGGCTCTGTAATTCTTATCCAAAATATAAATTCTGACAGAACTGTTATGAATTATTTCCCAAAAACTTCAATTCGAATCCATCATTGTCTTGGATGGATTTGAGCCTCGGCTAGGCCTCTTGTCTATTTGCCAGGTGTGGCAGTGCATGGGCCGGAAGGCCCGGCTCGCGCATGCATGTAAGCAGGGAGCAAAATTGCAACGCGGTCACCCATGAAGGTACCTTGCTTTCCGGAGTTCTTGTGAAAATCGCCGTTTTGCGTATGGACATTTGCAACCCATTGGGGTAGAAGGTCAGAGGGCCCAGTCCGCATCGTTGGGTGCGGATATCAGTTGATTCTTGATATTGGGCAGCCGCCTTTAGTGCCAGCGTCAAGCGCCGCCCTACTCCGCGTCCGGCGCCCAAAATATTGCCAACCCCGAAAAGTGTCTTTTTTGTACCATGTGCACTGGGCAACTATTAACCGCCTCTGGCGGGTGCCTTGATCAGCAAGTCCATCAGTGACACAGTGAGATTCAGCGCAGCGGGGTCGCTCAAGCAGCCGAAATACAAAACGGCCTCCATGTGTGTTCGCTCTGCAACAGCAAGGCTATTGTTCTGGAAAGCTTATGCCTGGAAAGCTCCTTCATTTGCATCGTGAAGAACTAGCAATGTCAATGTTTGAAGATTTGTGGCTTTTGGGCATCGGTTGCCAGGTTACTCTGAAAAGCAATGACCAAACCACAAGGGTAGACAATTGACCTTGCCTCCTCTGGTTTCCCTTTGTCACCTCCCAAGTTTCTACCCTTGCCCCATCGACTTGCGTGCAACTCAAATCCCATCATCGACTAGCAACGGCTTGGCGTACAGACCTCGAACTGCCAGGCGAGAAGCCTCTCGCCGCAGGACGGGACGCGGGAAGTCGTTGGCAGTGTCCACACATGGAACCTGAGCGGGGCTTCCTGGACAAGATGTTGCGATGTTGTTTTTTGGCAGGGACCACCTGGTGGGTTCAATGTTTATTTCGGGGAGCACACACATTTTGTGACTTGCCCATCTTGCGGCCCTGGGGTACTTTGAGGTCCTGGGGCTGTTCAGAATTCTCCTTCTTTGCGCTTTCTGAGGGCTCCCAGCAAAATCTTGTTTGAAGTCATGGCAAAACCAAAGTGGCTGGCACAGCAAAAAGATATGTGCAGATTTTCGCCTAGCTTTGCGTGGCTGTGCAAACATTCGCAAGGATAAGCTGGGTGCGCAAAATGTGCAAAGGCTTTTTGGGCTCGCACATGTTCACCTGACCCAGTCCAGCATAGTTGCAGTGTGCCCACAGTCTTCTGGCCAAATCTGTTTTGGCCTCATGAATTTCAAGGTCCCTTGCAGTCGGGGTGCTGGTAGGATGTCTGACGACTTTTTGGCAAGTTGATGGTGTCATATGTATGTTTCGTAAAGTTAGACACTTCAAGAAAATAAACAACACACAAGAATAAACACATTCGTTTGGGATTGTCTATGGATTCTCCTCGACTCTGTTATCCTTTGCGACTCGGTGGAGTCTCCAGGACGATCGAGCAGGCGAAGTGGGGGAGTCCTTTGGGGGGGTTGGGCAAAGGGCGGCTTTTTTTCAGCAGGGTTCTAAATCACACATTGGGTGAATGTGTCGTGCCCTTCTTGAGTTAGTTTAAAGTGAACTCACAAGGACATGCCCCCATTTTGGGGCCCCCATCATGGTCATGGCGTCAAAAAAACAACTGCTCAAGGAATCATTTGTACAATGACAAAGCCATAGAGGTGTTTTTCAAAGCCATGGTTAGGGATTCAATTGGGTCTGTGTATGAGGGCTTTCCCTTTGAACGGCAAGCAAAAGACGAGATATCACCCACTTTCGGGCTTCCCCTATTTGCAGGGAGATTTGCATTTTCCGAACCCGTGTGGGCCAGAGAGTTGCGGGAACACATGTTTTCTTTCCGAAACAAAGGGGGGCCCGGGGTGACTAGATTTTCCCTCCAAAAGTTGCAAAGAAGTGGTAGGTTCCGAGGAAAGCCTGCCACTTGTCGAAGCTTCCACTTCTTTGTTTTTCGGCCAGTTCTGCTGGACTGCATTGCGAGTTGCATCAAAAATCGGGTACTGGTTGGGATTGGTGGCTTGGGTTTGAACCCCTTTTTCTTGCAGCGGTAAGGGAACCCACCCCCGAACACGTCCAATCCAAACCGCCAAGAGGGAGGCTGCTGGGTTTCCAACGGGGAAAGTTCAGACTCGGCTTTTCTCTAGACCTGGACACCGTGGCGGAGTACGGCTTCACCAGACGGCGCTCGCCCACCAGCCGGGGCCCTGCCATCCGCTTGGTTTGCCTTAGCAAGGCGACAGAAATCAAGGTCGTGTTTTTGGATGGTGTTCGTGCCTGGGATTTGGCTGTGGGTCAAAACCAATGGGATCCCATTTTGTGGTTTCGGTGCACCAACCATTTTAGAACCTATTGCAGTGGGGATTGGGATGTTTACTGGGGGTACGATTTGGATTTTGACCCATGGCCATTTGTTTCGTGGCTTGGCTGGAAGCCTTTTCTGGGCTCTATGAGTGATTTTTCTGGAGAGCGCCGCCCTTTTTGACGGAAGCAGAGTCGAGACAGGCCGCCGGAAAGGGAGTTGCTGCTCTCGCTCATCAAAGTACTTGACTGTACGTGCTCTTCAGAGCAGTAATGAGATGGCATTGGCTTCAGCTCGGTTCTCAGTATTTGCCAGTGCTGTCATGTTTTGCAAAACGGACACCCTGCCACAAGTTGGATGCACCATGAGCCTGTGAAGCTGTGCAACCAGGAAACATCCATGCTCCAAGCGGCGTCAAACGAGAGCTATGCTTGGTTTGACTACTTTGGCGCTTGCAAACCTGTCCACGAGCGGCATGAACAGGCTCATCGGGTTTGTCTCAAGCTTCTTTGATTCGGCAAGCGCCTGGTTTTGACCCCCCACCACGACTTTTCCGATTTGGAGACGGCCAAGGGTCGGTTCATTTCAGAACCTTCGCAGCTGGACTTGGGTGGGCACACCCCTCCGTGCCGCACACCCGGGCACGGCAACCAACCCGCCCCCCTGCCACGGAGCCGGGTTAGCTCAGCTTCCAGGTTGTTCCGCGTGGGAGAAGCCCGGGGACACAAAACCAAAAGATCCCCATTGGAAGGCGGCTTGCCTCCCCCCCAAATCATGGGGATGACCGCCTGAATGGGAACGCACAATTAAACCCACGGTTGATTGGCGGCGGGGGGGGGGAGGTCCTGCTTTGGGGCAAATGGACTTTTGGAGGACACACCCCGGCAAGAATCCACCAGTTTGTTAGCTGGGGTCACCATTGCAGGCTGCTCGTTTCAGCCACTTTTGGTTCATGCCAACCCCGTCGGGCCAAACAGCCCTGACTCCATTCGGAAATTGAGCAACTCGGCTCTCAGGCCTCTCAGGGCGGGAGCAGCTCCGACTGGAGTGGCCGGAGCCGCCTTCAGGCGAATGTGCTTCGGCCGACTTAGTGGACAGAGTCCTTGTCCCGCTATCAGCAGCAGACTCGGCAAGCTAGGTAACCCAGTGGCAAGCGGATTGCTAGAGTACTGACCGCTGGGCCTCACACCCAAGTAGTTCGTTGGGGTGAAAGCCAATGCTGTTTCTCGGTGGCTTCTGGGATGGGTATCCCGATTGGCTTCATATTTTGTCCTTTGTAAGTCAAGGCCCTTGATCTGGGTTAAAAGCGGTGTGTATGTGTGCCATGGTCAATGCACTCTTTTACCGGCTTACCCTGAGCCAGGCAAAGAGTTTCGATCATGGCGCAAGAAAGTGTATGTGTGTGCGCGCGTGCCTGCGTACGTGCGTGCGTGCCTGCGTGCGGGTTCGTGTTGTTGGTTGTGTTTATTTGTGTGTTTGCTTGCTTGTTTGTTTGGTTTGCATTGCTTTGCTTTGCTTTGATTTGGTTTGGTTGCTTGCTTGCTTGCTCTTTGTTTTTTTGTTCCCGCCTGAAAGCCAGTAGATCCAGGAAAGCCAGATACAGACAACAGATGCCAGAGCCAGTCAGATGCGGCACCAGAGCCCGTCAGATGGGCAGTCATTTATCTTGCCAGCCAGATGCAGATGACGAAAGATGCGGAGAGCCGGTCGGACGTGCCAGAGCCAGTCAGATACAGTCCAAGTCTGAGTGTCAGGTTCTGCACCGGACTGGCTGGGTCTGAGTCTGTGTCACGCCACGCCAGCCAGTCGCCCGGACTCGCCGCTGTCTGCCAGACACGCGGAGATCTTTGTCTTTGTGGGGTCATGAGACAGGGATTCGCGAATCTGGGCCCGACTCGGCAGGTCGCAGCCCACGCACCCCGCGCAGCCCGTTGGCGAGCGGCCGTGGCCAGGACCGTGGTTTGGCCCACGGAAGGGTTTGGAAGACTACAGTCTTGGAAAGGCCTCAGCCCCCCCACTCCATCTAAACCCTAAACCCTAAAGCCCTAAACCATGTAAAGATGTTCAGCTCCTTGTGTTTGTCTTCTTTTCTTATTTGCAGGGGCTGCAAAGAACCCGAGTCGATTGGCTGACATGCCAGGGGTTGGGAACAAGACATCGGTGCAAATTTATGCCTTGTCATCTTTGCTTGTTTTCAAGGAAGACAGCTTGAACATATTTCTCATTACATTATATATAATATATGTATAAATATCTAATATATATAACTTCAATCCTCTTGGGTTTTGCGTTTGGTGTGGGTTTCTTTCTAGAATAGGGGACCTCTTTCCGGCTGGTTGTTCAAAGAACACAAGAGTGAACCAACCATATAGATATCGCACATATTGCAAGCAGGGGAATAAGGGAAGCTTGACATGAGTTCTGTGGTTGCGTGTGGCCTAGTGGTTTACTTGCAATGTTTCGGCATCCATAGCAAGGAGGTTCCCCATTTTGGGAACTCCCTTGCGAGCAAAACATACTCGCAGTCCCGCCCCTTCACACCACGGGACGTTTGAGCGTCCAATTGTCCCCTTGACCAATTGGGGAATGTACCACAATAAAGGTACCATCAGAGAAACACATATCCATTTAGCAACGTGTTGATCGACTTTCGCAGGGTTCACACATATCGTCATATGGGTGTGTTTTTCCAGGGGTTTGCCTTGGTTTACGGGGAAACCAACCAGCCACGTTTTCCTGCTTGCTCCTTGATTCCACCTCCAAGCTCTTTGCCTTTGGTATGGTTGCTTCCTTGCCCCTTTGGCAAGTAGGGGAACACGTGAGTTCCTGTACTGTTCTGCAATTGTTGGGGTTTCGTGGTTGGTGAAGTTCTTGCAAGCCACCTCACCAAAGACACCCCCCAACCGGTTAATAAGTGCCTCATTTGGTCTTATTTGACCATACTTTGCCTCAATGAGGCCCAGCAAGCCCCAGCTCGGGGGGATCTTTGTTGGGTTGGACGGGGTCCCTGGTTGATTACATTCTTTCCAGGGATCTGGTCTCCAAAAAGGCACACAAACTCTGCACTATTCTAGGAGGTGATTCGAGTCTCCATTGGTTTCAACCATTGTTCTTTCCTGTCCTCTGCTACTCCTGGCAACAGATTTACCCTCCCACCGACGATTTCATGGAAGTGCACAGCCTGTAGAAAGACGACAAACCTCTCTTGGAAAGGGACCCAGTTTGTGCACAAACCCATCTTGGAAGGGTAATCCCCAGCAACATGTTCTTGCTGGTGCTCAGCAGGGAATGAGAATTTGAATGACCCCTATAAACCATCCCTTGTGCTTTCCTTCAAGGGGAGCCCTGGGTTCATTCCAATTCTCATTCCCTACCGATTTCGCACCGATCGCAAGTTCTTTTTGGTATCAAAGCCACAGATCAACAGACCGCTCTGTCGGACCATCGGAAAAGGACTCCGAGCAGGCGCGCGCCTGCCTTCAAGGCAAGCGACTCTCGGGTTCGATGCAGACAGACCCCCCCCAAACAGGCAATCCGCGGAGAGCCGTACTTAGAGGGCTTTGGCCTGGTTCGGATCGCCTTGGTTTCTGCTTGAAGTCCAACCAAGACTTGAAGATTCAAAGAACCAGATTGCTGAGAATGAAATGACCACTCGGGTGTCAGCCTGGTTGTTGGAGCCGGATTGTTCGACAAGCAAAGCAATGGGCCCCATCTGAAGCAACTGTAGAGTGAACATCTGCTGGGGATTCTTTCGGGATCTGCGGAGCCCAAAGGGCGGATCAGAGGATGGAGCTAGTGCCCTGAGCTTGGACAGTGCCTTTCTAAGGGCCTGGCTCGTTGCCAGCGATACCTGTTAGCCCGGGAATTCAGAGGCTTGGCAACGTGGCAGACGTCTCGGGGATTTCACTGAATGGCGAGCAAAACAAAGAAATGGGTGGCTAAGTTGCGGTAACTTCGCTGACTTGGAGCCTGGTTGACAGTGATGCATGTCAAGAATCCGAAAAGAGCATTGCGAGATTGCCTCTCCTGATAAACATGGAAGTGCACACACCTCTTTTGGACGAGACGACAGTTTGCATTTGGGAAGGCATTTTGTGCACCAAGCCATATTTGGTAGGGCATGCAGAAGCTGGATTTTGAGATTTTTCTGGTGTGTCTCTAAAGGAGGAAATCTGCCAACATGGGTGGTCTGCCTTTTTCTTTCCCTTTTAACGATCCCGACAAAGGGTATCGTCAAGGAACGGCACACCCATTTTTCTCGAAAGGTTTGGATACTACGCAGCTGCCCGGCGTACCCCGCAGTGCGAGGAGCACTCGATTTCGGCCACATGCAGCCCTGGGTTTGCCGGTTGACTTCTTTTGGACAAGTGAAGGCAGCCCTGAAGGCTTTTTTTCTTCCTGTAGTCTTATGGGAGATGAACCTCAGCGGCTTACTGGTCTAACCTGGCAAACACCGCCTCGAAGTCTTCCCGCAGTCTCCCCCCATTTTTCAGTTGTCTTCCGGTCTTCTCTGAGTCTTGGAGTCTTCCTGTAGTATTTCCTTTCCGTAGCTACCTAGTCTGCTCGTAGCTTTCTCGTCTTTCCAAAATTCTTCCCGCAGGCCTCCGGTGTCTGCAAGTCTTCTCTTGGTCTTCCTGTAGTCTTCCCATAGTTTTTCGGTAGACTGAAGCTTCCTGTGTGTAGTCGTCCGGCGTTCTTCCTGTAGTCTTCCTATTACCTTTGAGCAGTCTTTTGAAAAGCTGGCGAAGCTTAGCCGAACAGTTCGGAGGGGGTGAACAAATTAGCCGAACTGTCAGTCAAGGTTAGCTGCAAAGTTGGTTGAGGCTTGTTGTCTCAAACATGCTGGTGCACCCTCGACCCTCTCCCTTACACCCCCCCCAACCATGAATGCTTGGCATGGGTTGAATGGGGCCCACAGACAACCACTCATGGCTCGACCGGTGAAGCTCCCGGTTCAGTGGCCAGGTTTTGCAAGGTTGAAAAGCCAGCAGGGTTTGCTATGCAACCAAGGCTTCAGCCTAGCCATTTTGGTCATTCATAGGCCTTGTTTTGACCGAGTCGACTCGTGAATCTGAAACGAAGCTATTCAGAGCCGTTGATCGGGCCCGACACCCAGAACTCGGCGCTTGGACCGTGTGGAGATTCCAGCGCTTGCGCAGGAGTGTGAGCACACGCACCAGCGAGAGTCCAGCGCGACCACGTGACACTTCCAACATGCTCTGTGACAGCCTAAGATTGGACATGAGGTTCGGTCAACATGTTCAGTCCAGTGTCCATTTGAGGGGGACATGGGGTTTCCCGCAAACACCAGAGGGGACTTTCAACATCTCAATGTCCAAGAGTGTAAAGCAGATTTCACTGTTGCCACATACGGACACGCGCTAGTCTTGGGAAGCATATGGACTATGTCAAACATGTCACAATTCGATTCGGTCTATCTTCGATTCAAGAGCCCCCTTTGAAATCACAGTTTTGGGTAATTTTGACGGAGATCCAATGTAAAGTGCTCAAGTAGTCATGGGAATCCACCACTTTGGTTCTTTCACGGCCTCAATCAACTTCATCAACCGCAACCAGCTGGGTGCCACCACCTTCTCTTTGTGTATCATCCTTCAGAGGCCACAAGCCACACGTTCGTATCATTTTCTCGGTGTTTTTCAAAGGACCCCCGCCCTTTGAAGCGCTGAAGTAGCCATGGGAATCAGGCACTTTGGTATCATATCATATTGCTGGGTGATATGTAAGGGAATCCCCTCTATAGTGATCAAGTAGTCATGATCACAGGTGTTGGGGCGATTTCCAAGGGAGGTCCCTTCAAAGTGCTAAAGTACCCTTTCACAATTCAAGTAGTCATGGGATTGCTGGGGTGTGATTTTTGACTGAGTCGCCTTTTTTAGAAATTGCTGAGTTTGTGGTTTTCAACAGGGCCCCCTTTTAAGAGCTTGTTTGGCATCACATATTGAATAGCTGGGTGATACTCAAGGGAACCCCCCTTTAAGGCGACGGAGTACTCGTGGCAACCAGTCTTCGCTAAGGCTGGGCCGAGATGTCCAAGGAGGCGTGCCCGGTTTGCCTTTAGCAAGCAAGCAACGATATCCGGATGAGGAAGCCCTGCCGGTGTGATACTCGCGCAGCGCCTGGTCGTAGACGCGTCCAGGTGGACAACGCGGCGGCCGCCGCACAGCTGCTGGAGGAGGAGGCGTCGAGCTGAGCTGTAAGAGTGAGAAGGAGCAGGGGCCCGAAATGGGTGTGCCCTGATAAATGGAAAGGACTCAACCTGTGGTCCCCTGACGGTTTAATTTTGACTCATACCCAAATGAAGAGGGCATCAATGACTAGCATGGGTTTGTGGGGCACTCCAAGGCCACATTGGTTTTGTGATCGAGCAAAATGTCGGCGGTTATTTAGACCCATATTTTGGCGCGAGGGGGGGGGTGTCTGCGGAATAGCAAGCGCTCCGATTCGGTTCATCGAGCTTGACCCGAAATGAAGGTTGGCGGGCCTCCACTAGTCGCGTTTTCTTGGGAGGGCTTCGGCTCAGCTGTCACGTAGTGGCCCTGTTGGGGGAGTCCGCGAATGAGCGACGGCATTCACGTGGTTTTACTTCTGGACAGCGGCACCTTGATGTCAATGAAGTACGCAATCAAAGTCGCGGAATCGTCCTCCATGACACGTGGCTTCGGCAGTAGCAACTGCTTTGATGCAATTGAGCCACGCTCAGATGCACGCCCCGTCTGACTCAAACGACTGTCCAAGCGGCTTGCTGGCAATGCGAATTGATTTCCAGAGCGCTTCTACCAGACTACGGTCTCCCCCCATTCGATAGGCTGCGGTTGTACTGTGGATCTGGTGGCCAACGCAACACGCTTCCTGAAAAGGATATCCCACAGACTTACTGCGCATCTCTTGGAAGGCGAGCTTCTAACATGCTGCAGCCAGCTAACTGCAGAGTCACGATGCAATCGCGAGTTTTCATGTCATTGTGGCACGGACAGACCAAGGGTGAAACATATGTGAGTTTTGCAACTCACTTGAGTCAAGCCACTTGGGTGAGTGCTATTATGCTGTCCCTCGGCAAAATGTGCCTACGGATCGAAACTCGAGATTTCTGCAATGTCATAATCGATCAAACTCACTCCAAAAAGCACAACACTGTTGCGAACGTCTCATAATCGACATGAACCTGTGCGTGTCAACTGCAGCGTGTGCCGGGCCACTACAAGAAGCGTGGACGGTCCTTTTCTTGGGCACTCTTATTTACAGTCTTGGGGCAATTCAGAACCACATAGATAAGTCAGGATCGTCGCAGCAACCTGTTGTGAATGATTTTGCCCCCAATTATGGGAGACTGCCGAAGCCAATAAAGCCTTTTCTTGGAGTTGAAGAGATGGCGCGGCATATTACCATGGTCCCAGACCCCCCCAATCTTGTGGCGACCCCTGGTCGGTGGATTGGTTCTTCGTTTTCAGCTTTTGTTCAAAGCTGTTCAAAGCACAAAGTCGTTGCAGACACGCCAGGGGTTCCGAAGACTCCCCCCGATAATTCATAAGAACCCCCAAAAAGAGCTTTTTCTTCGGCTGTTTCGTTGGACTCCGAACCAACCCCCTGAATGGTGGCAGGGGTTGAAACAACATGTTGATCTTCTGGCACCTCTTGCAGGCAGCGTGAAATTTGCTTGCCTTTTTGACTGTGTATTTGGTGTTCTTGGTCCGGTCAAAAGTCATTCAATCGAGCATGCAAGCCAGTGTCTAGATGGCCATACTTTAGCTGCACCGCAACAACACGGCTGTTTGCATGCATTGCTCCAAGGCCTTTTGCTGTCAAGGCAACCTAATTTTTGCCACGGCCGCCTGCCATGACCATGGGGATTAATGGGATGAGGAAGCGCTCTGTGGAGCCTGTGGCAGGGCAGGCGCATGCGGACATGCTCAGGTCTTTCCTGTCATATGTCGAGCGCCACCCACTTGATTTCATTTGCATGGTTCGACAGCTTCGCAAACGCAAGGCAAAGGAGCACGAATATGCCGACATGGAGAGAATCCCTGAGGAGTCTCAGGAAAAGCACAGTCTCGAAGTCCATGAGATCAAGGAGCACGGTTTCCAAGTCCAATGGCCTGAGGAGGATGGCCCTGAAGTGCAGCAATCAAAGGCATGCCCCTTGCTGAAACGCACCATGTCCAATCCACTTGTTGTGAGGCTGTGATTTCTCTCGCAACTTGCTTGGCCTTCCCACAGACGATGCCGGCGCAATGAGGTTGAAGTGGGCGGGAACATGTGAGTCACAATCAAAACCTGGTATTAAAATGGTTGACCCAGAACCATGTAAGGAAATACAAAGGCGGCCGCAACTATTTATGGCTGGGATTGTCCCTTACTCACCTTCATCTACTTGGGTTCTCATTGTGGCTCATGTCGAGGTTGCCAATAATTCCTTGTTTTCTAATTGCACAGGACTGCCGGACAAGTTTCTGAGCAATTCCAGGGACTGCCGGACAAGTTTCTGAGCAACTCCAGTGGTGCCCGATAAGCTCAGGCCCGGGTAATGACATTGGTTTCCATATGAGAGGACATGCATCGCATTTCCTGATTCCTTGCTTCCTTGTCTTCCGAAGGGACACGGAAGAAGCACGCGTTCTAGGCATGCGTTCCAAAGACCGTGCCCGCAGATCAGTTTCCATCGCATGCACGTGAGCAGCTGTTGCAGCTGTTGCTTGGTGGCCCGGAAGCGCTTCTTTTTCGCTTTGATCTGCTGGCCTTTCAGGCCGTGTTTTAACGTTTGACTTCTTGATTTCACTGTGCCATCCCCATTATCTTCAGGGATCCTTCTCAAAACATAGGCCAAGCCTCTGGGAGAATGAAAGGTTTCTACAAAGAACGATGGGTGAAGAGAATGGGGAGATGTGTGAGCTCATGGCTCACCCAGTTTTATCAAGTAGGGCTACCGTCATGTGGCGTTTCGTCCTTGTTAGTTGATATCGCCTTGGTGAGCTCTCGCTCACCTGGCATGCAGGGCTTTCGTCCTAGAGCTGGCGATCATCGGTCACACGCGCTGATGGTTGGGGGTCGGATTTCCCTTCTGTCCCACTACGGATTGTAGGACGAGGGACCCCCAACCAGGTCCGATGTGGCCGTCAGCCTTAGCTTTCACCGTGCTTGACGATGATTGATTGCCTCACGGTGAAAAAGCATGCGAGCGTGGGGCCGGGTTGGAGTTTGTGCCTGTAAGGCTTTGCACCCGCCCACGCAAGGCGTTAACACAAGCCAACAAGCCCACTAAGTGGGGTTCACCCTGTAACCCGTTGCGAGGTGAGAATAATTCATCTTGGTTTAGTCATCCTCTTCACTGCCAAGAAGTTGCGCCATCTGGGTATGGGTCAAAATTAAACCACGAAGCCGCAGGTGAAATCGTCCTTGTTTCCATTCACTAGGGCAAGCCATTTGGGGTGCCCATTTTAGACCCACACCCCATCTGCTTTCACCCAGGTCCGCGGCGGCATGGCGCGCCGCTCGGGCCGCCGCCCTTGGCCCAGCTTCCCGAGGGGGACTTGGGGCCTGGGAAGCTTTTCCGACATCCTTCCGTTACTTGATTGCTGTTGGCTTGGATCTTTAGACTTTAACTTTTTGGGAAACAAAGGTGTTTTCCACTAAACCCCCCCCCAAGAAGGAAACTTTTTGCAGGGGGGTCAACAGCAATCCATATTTCCAGCTTGTTTGGGCCTCAAGTCGCATGTTTTTGGTTGGAACCCACCAGCCAAATGCAACTTGTCTAGGAGATATCTGGTGAGGCCGGGCAAAATGGTTGGACACGCGAATTACAAGGGGTTCCGGAAGGATTGCAGTACTCGGGTGGGGGAACGTGGGAAACTAACCGCTTTGCTAACTTCCAGACGATCCATCCAAGAGT